ACATTTTTCTCTTCTTTGGGCCAAACACATTCAGTCTTTCAAGGTTTGGTTTCCAGATCTCTACCCAAGCCTATCATCCTATCGGTCAATTTCCTCCTTAAAATATGGCACCTAGGTATGGCCTACATGAAGACTAATCAGAATAGAGCTGCTACTTCACACAACCCAGGCCCTCTGCTTTTGTTACAGTGTCTATAACTATATTACCAGTGAGTAGCTACCTGAATTTAAAGTCCAAAAGAATCCCCAAGTTGAGAAAACGAAGAGAAGTCCCTTCTCCAGTATGAATCATTTTATATACTGTAGTGTGAGATTCTGTGGGTGCCTTCATCAGCTAACTCTCAGTCTCAGGGAACAAGTATTATGGTCTTCTCAGTGTTCAACACATCTCTGGGGGCCTACTTGGCCAACACTGTGCTTTTACAGAAATCCTCTCTAATCTTTCCTGGTGAAAAATTCTGCCAGAAGAACCTTCAACTATCACAAATACAACAAACATGTAGAGGGAAGTGCATCAGCAATGAATTAATAAAGATATTGCTCGTTAACCTTTTGAAAGTGTTATGTCTTACTGCTTAAACCTGTTTCTCAGCAGAGTTATTTACATTTTATAAACTGAGAAAGATAAGCCTCTGCTCTTCTCAAACGTTTCTTTGAGAGTGTTTGCTCATGTTTACCTAATGTCCTAGTGTGCTCACAATTAAATTTTCATGGGAATCAATGGCATTTCCTGGCAGAGAAAGTACAATGCTGATGCATTTCTAGCCCTAGATATTTTAGGAGGCCACCAGCTTTAACTGCAGAGGCCAAAGCTGTGATCAATCCAATATGCTTTAATGGGACTATTCTCCATCTTCCATAACATCAAAAGAGCCACCAATGAATGCAAAATGGCCAAATAATTGCATCTCATACATGAGCCAGGAAGAACCACAGAAACACTCAGCAAGCAAAACCCAGTGAATTTAGAACAACTTCAGCCAAGGTTATATAGTGGAGGGCAACTTTTTCCATCAAAGAGCTGCCTGCTTGTCCATCCCCATTCAAAGTAAAATGAAATCCTAACATACTTCTCTTGTTTTTAAGGCAACTCGCCCTATGCCACCAAAGGAGAACTTCTAATGCTGTACATGATTTGCAGATCTCTGAAATTCCATAATAAGATGGTAATAATGAAGAGACCACCTCTGGCTGTTTCCATTTTTTTCTTGATCACTTCAAGGAAAGGGTCAATGAATTAACATACCAACTATAAAGCCTTAGCAACAGCAGGCCCCAATTAATCTCTAACATTTTGTCTCATCCTAACCCATTAAAACTGTGCCAGTGTCTTGGCAAAACTCAGCATAGCCCCTCTCTCAGGGTTAGCGTTAGCATGAAATATTTCCTAGCACCATCAAAGGAAATAGAGGCACTACTTTTTCTTTTTCTTTTAATTTTTCCCAAATGGCAAGGCAACTCCTGGTTGAGCAAAGTTAAGTTCACTTAAATGCAAGATACTATTCTGGCTGTGGGAATTATGTTTTCTGATTTTGAACGTTTATGTCATTAAAGCTAATAGTGATTGGAAGAGCCCTTATGCAGACAAAAACCTCTGTTAATTGGGGCTTAGTGGTATGCTGTCTCTGAACAGGAAGGTTCAATGCAGTCATTATGGCAAAGGAGTATTTGATGACTTTTTTGCCTACACACAGGCCTTCTCGTATTAGCAGGCCTGCATTGGCTTTGCAAACAGACATAAGGGTATAAGTTGAATAATTTGAGTCCTCATGTTCCAGGGCAGCTGATGCAAAGCACTGAATACAGTACTGAGTTTCTCAGCCTTGGCAACTTTAAGATGAGTGGACTTCAACTCTCAGAATTCTGGCAGTTGAAGTCCACTCATCTTAAAGTTGCTAAGGCTGAGAAACACAGCTGTAACTCAAAGACATGACAACTTCAAGGTAGCAATACTCTGAGGAATGTATTCAGAATTTCAGGAGTCTCTTCAGAATCAGGACCACATAGAAACTGTTCCCTAACAAAACAAATTTTTTTAAAAAGAGAGAAACAATGTCCTGTTCTTATCTGTTTCTGAGATTTTTATGTTCTTCCCTCACAACTGGTGGAAAGCCTCAGGCCTTTCAACTTCATAGCATACCAATAAATTGCAACAATACATGTACTGTAAAGAAAATTCTTAGAATTGCAGTAATGTCTCCATTTAAATAAAGGGATGTTCCGAGTCACTTATTCAAGGTCTTGGTAAAGGTCAACGGAGTCAGGATGTAAATGACATCTCTTGGACTTTGGACAACACGTTCATTATGCAACGCTTCCTTGTCTGTGCTGGGAATCCATTTTCCATTGAATAAAATGTCACAGTTTGTTAGAAAAGGGCCAAAATCTATTTTTGATTCATCAAGGGCAAAATGAGAGGCACCCTATTAGACTGTTGCCCTTTCAAACAGGATCTATTATTTCATTCTCAGCAATTAGCATCTGCCACAAAGAAAAGTGGGCTCAAAGTAAACAGACTTTACCTGCTTTGTACCAAGCATCTCTGTGGCATTCACAAGACTATGCAAGAGTAAAGTGTGTGCAACAGCGTTTACTCTAATGATGCAGAAGCAATAATCTAACGAAGAGGCAACTTCTAGAATTTTATGAACTTTATAAATTTATCAAGATCCTTATCCATAAGAAAAGCTTACAGCCCACTTCCTAATTTTGACTAAAAGTCCTATTCAACTAGGTAGAAACCAACATAAATCTTTTATTTCACAATTCTTCCTTCCAATTGCCTGTACTAGATGTCTCAACACATGCACATCTTCTCCCCTGTATTTCTCAACCTTGCTCCCCAGCTTTGTCCTCTCCTTGTCCCATCTCCACAATGAGTTCAAGAAAATGATTCAATAGCCTCTGATCAGAAAGTCCACTAGCCAAAAAAATAAAATAAAAATGTTGAATTCTTTGGTTTTTTAAAAGCATTTTACATCTAGTGGCTCCCAACCTATCATATAGCAATTTCCTGACTTAAAACATGCATGCATTATGAAAAGCCTTGCTTCTTTAAAAAAAAATCCGGTACACATTGCAAGGCAGCAGCATCAAGGTCCCTGCATTCTGACACATGGCTTTTGTACAGCAATCAACCTTCCTATCCCTGCTTAGTCATTGTTTTTTAAGCCAAGAAAACCACAGCTTCTTGAGCCTTAGTGAAAAAGTTGCTGTAAATACCCACAAACAATTTAATCATCCTTTCCTGGATGCCACTGAGGAGATCTTTTTCAAGATTACAGGGCCTCTAAATCTGCACCTTGGCATGCTTCCAAGGTTCCTCCAAGTCAGTTTTCCCTCTCAGACATCCTGTTTCATTCCCTGCCAGCATTCCTGGCTCCAAGCTCATCCACAACATTCTAGGCTTCCCTAAACCCTCTCTCCTTCTCATGGTCCCTTCATTCACCCTCAGGCTGTGTCTTCCCAAAACATCTGCCTTCTATAGCCCGGACCTCCTGGCTTCCCAGCCTCTATGCCACAGATTCTCAGAAGGCCTTGTACCATTCCTATTCTCACACCAACTTTCGCATTTCAGGGCCTCCCACTATCGATTACAGATTGCTTAAAGGCTGAGTTGGCCAGACAACTGTCTTTTACTGTTGTTGTTCCCTCCAAAAACATCTGTCCCCTGCAAATATTATTTTAAAAATTGCTTGTTTTTTTAACTGAACGAAGCGTTCACAAATCGTAAGTCATCCTGCGGGCTGATCAAGCTTCGGGAGCTGCTGGGCTTGTCGCAGCTGGCTCGGCACTCCGTCCAGGGAAACAGACGGCCTTTGCAAGGACCCCCGCAAGAGGAATCCCCCCACCCCTGTGTATTCAGGGGGACTTCAGAGACCTCTGTACAGAGGGAGGAGGAGGAGGAGGAGGAGGAAGAAAGAAGAAGCAGGTGGTGAGCTGAAAAGGCGGGCGATGCTCACCCAGCACGGCGCCAACACTCACCTGAGAAGCAGCCCCCACCGGTTGTGGGGCGCATTCCAGCATCGCCACGCATCGAAAGACACCCCAAGCGCCACCCACGGGAACCCCAATTGGGCTGTCACGGCCCGGGGGGGCAGAGGGGAAAACACCGCCCGGGAAAGATGCTCCGCGGGGACCGAGGCGGGAGAAGCTGCCCCCCACGCTTTCTCAGCCAAGGGGGGGAGTAGCGCCTGCCAGGCGGGCCTGTTCCCAAAGCCCCAGGGGGCTCAGGGCGCCCCTTCGGGGAGGGGTCAGCCGGGGGGGCGCAGTGGTTCGTGGGGGGCCTGGGTCCCCGCAGGCCCAGCCGCTCTGGCAGACGCGGGAGGTGGG